GTACTCGCACTCCATCTTCAGGCTTGGGTGGCCAGTCTCTCATCCCTCGCCAACCTGGCTTTGTGTTATAATATATTTGTCGGAAAACTGACACAATGCCCGCAAATTTGGCAGCCTGGATACTCACTGCCCATTATAACACAATGTCAGTCTGTTAAATTAGATAGGGTATAACTAAGCCCAAAGAGCCTAAGGTCCTGGAGGAGAATAATATCATGTTATCCGGCACATAGCAAATAAAACAAAATCAATTGACTCTCAATTCCTAAAAAGAAAACTATAGTAAAATACAAAACTTTTAAACAAACAAAATTGCCCTCACTTTTTGGTAACAATAGGTCCGGAAGGTAAATATTTGGTAACTCAGAGACCTCCAGAAAAATCTCCACCCCTCTAGATATTGCCAAAAAAGAAAAACAAGTAGTGGGGGCAGGTATAAAGTCTTTAAATACACCAAAGTTGCTTACCATAAAAAATCCCTAAAAACTGTTAATGTCACAAAGTGGTGTGTTCAATCGCTAAATACCTGCCCCTAGTACCGCATTAACTGGCGAGGACCGCCTGGCGCTAGGAGGTTGATTTAGAGCACAGCTAAGAGTGATTAATTTTAGCGAGATGAAGAAATTGGTTTCATAACAATTGCGTAAGCAATTGAGATGCTCAAAATGAACCTCACTCTGAATGTTATTCACATTAGCAGAGGTTTTAGGAGAACCGGAGAAGCTTAACACAAAGCCTAGGTGAGCCTGATGAGTATTTTGATAGGGTTTAAAACTAATCAAGAGTTAGACATACTATCAACCACAGAAAATGTCGACGGAGGATGGTCGGAGAGAAGTAGCAGTACGATCCAGCCATCGACCAGGGACCACCTCTGCACCAATTATCCAAAAGCCAAGAAAGGTATACCAGCCCAGAAAAGAGATCCACCGATCGTATACACGCGAGTTTAAGCTAGAAGTACTCTCCTATTGGATACACCACAAGATCGCTATAGGGCCAACCACTTTTAGGCCTCCAACTCAGAAGGAAGTTTCAGCCCGCTTTCTGGTTCCTGAGTCTACAATTCGCAACTGGAAGTCCGAGTCTGCCATGGATAGTATTGTAAATGAAAAGAAACATCAAAGAGGTGGGAGAAAAGGAGAGGGAAAAATAGGTATTGGTCGCTGGCCGGAGATGGAGAAGCTACTATATGCTGAATATCAGAAGAGAAGGGAGGAGAGGAAAGCTGTAAGAAGAGGATGGCTGAGGAAGGTTGCGACAAAGTCTTTTATCGAAGCATATCCTGAGCAGGATGTGAGTAGTTTTGTGTTCAGCAATGGGTGGTTCGCAGGGTTTTTGACTCGACATCACATCTCTATCCGGTTAACCACCAACAAATCCCAAAAGATCCCCTCCGACTACATCAACATCTGTGTGAAGTGGGCCCAATTCAATCGCCGAAATTCCCAGGTTCGACCTGGACTAGATTCTTTGTGTGTTGTTGGTCGATATTTGCTTTCTTCGATTTGCAACATGGACGAAACACCACTCCCCTTT